AGGGGTGGGCGCGGTCCGGTCCGGTCCAATATTTGGCCGAACCCGTACCCGTACCGTTACTATTCAAACGGTTCGGTTCGGTTCGGTCTTAGACCTAAACCCGTTCGGTACGGTTTCATTTTGAAATGGGACGGTACCATGCCATACCAATACCAAACAATGCCACTTTTTTCAAGTGCTTAAGAGGAAATTAAAGTTTATTCATCCTCCAAAAATCGACACAATTTATCAATTTTAATACTCATTTTATCCCAAATTGACATGCAAAGTCAATAATTTTTTTGTCAACCATGTTAAAGTTAAATTCTCTTTATTGATAATTGATTTATTTTTTAAAAATTAAAATAAACATATTCAGAAACTAAATTGAAATCTCTCCAAGGTTGCAAGCTCAAAATTAAATATAATTAAAAAGTGACATTCTAGTTAAGTGAATAAAATGAAACTGTTTGACCAAGAAAAGTTAATTTTGCAAATCAATTTGGGATGGATGTAGTATTTTACATAATTAATAAATTTCAGATAAATTATAGTAGTACAAATATAAATAATTAAACCATACATCGGTCCGATTCCAGGCTTCCTATGAATTAGCAAAGACGGTGAAAGTGTGAAGATAGTAGTCAAAGTAAGGGTATAAATGTAAATTTAAATCATTGAATCATACTTCGGTCCGGTTCGGTCCGGTACCGGTTCTCATTTTATGAGAACCGGTCATGGCATTGTTTAGAATCGGTACGGTTCGGTTCGGGACAAAAAAAATTGAGATCCGTTTCAAACCCCATTTTTCGGTCCGGTACCATATCGGTTCGGTTCGGTACCATGCCGGTTCGGTATTTTTGCCCACCCCTAGAATTTTGTATCTTCTCGCCAAAGACAGCGATGGAATGCTATCTAAAGAAGCGATCAGGCGATGCTTTGATGGGAGCTTGTTCGAATACTGTGCGAAGATGCAAAAGGGACGAGAAGCTAAGATGGAATAAACTGATGATGATAAAGAGCATAATTATTTTTATATCCTCTTTCTAATAAAATTAAATGCATATTTTAAATTCTTTATTCAGATGATGATAAGGATTGAAGATTGCTAACTATGACACTAGAAATATTTAGATACTTTTTATGAAAATTGATTATGATATTGCTTTAGAATAAATAAAATTGGACGTGACATTACTATAAAATGCTGTCATTTGTTTGTATATAACCTGTAAGTAAACATCACAATAGTTTTATATAATTATAAATAAAACTTCTTTTGGATTATTACATATTTTTCAACTAATATGCCTTATTTTTATTTTAGGACAGGGCCCCTAAAGGGTCAAGGCCGGCTGTATTGATACATGGATAATCTTTGAGAACACAATGGAGAGAGTATTGAAGTGTAATTTAAGGACGAATACAAGAGCTTTGACTACAAGAGTTTTCGATTTGTGAAGTATTCTCTTCATCCGAGCTTAAACTTCAATTCTCACTGCGTTTTAGACGTCCCAGCTTATCATTTCTATTTTGTAAAATAATTACCGTTCTTAAATGATAAATTAGTAATCAAATATTAAAAGTAATATGACTAAGCTAAAACATCATAGTTATCATCAATGACCACATTATGTTATATATACCCAACAAAATTATTTGTGAAAATATATTCGAATTACTTTATTTAGTTATTTTTTAAATAAATGTGCCATTTTCAACAAGAAACTTAAAACGAGACAGATGTAGTATAACTTTCTTAATCAAAACAGTTTTATTTTATACATTTATTTATGATATCAATTTATTATTATACGGAGTATTATAATTTTGACTTCACGGCTTTTTTTTTTGCAACAAAAAAAACCGTGAAGTCGAAATTATAATAGTTGAAAAATATAAAACCGACTTTCGACTTCACGGCTTTATAAAGTTCTCGATGTGATATCTCAATATATAAATTTTAATTAGTAAATAAATTAATTGAAAAGTTTAACTTCATCGTCAATCAATTTTAAAAACAGTAAATTGTCAATCAATTTTGGAATGAAGTCCTCCGTCACTGAATTATAAGAAGATGATACAGATGTCAAATGAAAGAGTATGTTAGACAAGAGTCAACGCTTGTAAAAGCTTAACGGCTGCAACAGATTTTCTTCCCAATCAAATTTAGACAAAATGAGTTTAATGCTTGGGAGTATGTGGAATATAACGGAAGATACGCAGAAAGCGATGCTCTTCAAAGTCAAAACTTAAAAAGGACATCTGAAGCCGACCAGTTGACTGATATTTTGTGTTTTTTGACATGTGAAGCATGCACTTTTTTTTTTAAAATTACTTAGTACGGAGTAGAACAAGTCTAAAGGTTTTGAAGGAACCCTTGAACATCTATTTGAATGTTTTTAATAAGATGATATAGGGGGTGTTTGGATCTGATTCTCAAAACTGATTCTGCTCCTTCAGGGAGCAGAAGCAGAAGCTGGAGTGTTTGGGTGAAATTCCAGAAGCACTTCTGGAGCTCTAATTTACTCTCAGAATCAGTTTTTTTAGAAGCTGGGGGGTACCAGCTTCTGAAAACTGATTCTGATTCTGCTTCTGCTTTTAAAAAAGAAGCAGAAGCAGAATCAGTTCCAAACACCCCCATAATCGATCATATAATACAATACTAGATCAAGTCTGATAAAACTACCCTAATTAGATCAAATAAGATTAGACCAAACCAAACTAGAACAGATCAGATCAGACTTAGATAATACCCCATAATAAACGATCCAAAAGACCAAAACACCCATGGTGTGGGCCTCCTTATGAAAAATGACAACATGGTCATAAAAAAATGTCAATGAAGAACCAACGAAAAAAATGAATGACGACACGATCCAGACGAAATGTCTGGCCGTGAAGAGGGGTGTTAGAGCCCCACACTGGAAAAGTTTGAATCAACAAATTGTTATATTAAGACATGAACTACTTCTCATATCAAATTGACCCCTTTAGGATGGAACTTCATATCTTAACAGATAATACCCCATATTAAAATATAGAAATAATGACAAATATATGAATGAAATTTAAATAGTGGACAAAATATGACTTAGTGACTACCATAGTAACTTTAGTGACCATGATTATGTTCAACTCTACCACTACAGTGACTTGCATAGTAACTATAGTGGTAATTTTTTTTCCATTATTTATATTTGGTAATATTTTTGCATAGAAACTTTAGTAATTACTACATCTGTACCATTTTATGTGTCTTAGTTTGACTTGGCATGATTATTAATGAAGTGTTTGCAAAAGTAAAAGTTGTGGTTGAGGTTTGAGTATAATAAAGTGAAATGGTATATATAGACCACACATTTCTTTCCAAAAAAGGAAATGAGACACTTATTTTGGGACAACCCAAAAAAGAAAGTAGGACAGATAAAACGGGACGGGGGAATATTATTTATATTTTGGTAATAATTTTGGTAATAATTATACACATGCAACAATGAGAAACTCCTGCTGTCTTTCTTTGTATATAGGTGTTCCCAAAATGGCCAACAAGTACAACTAAAAAGAGGAAAGGCAAACTCTGTTAAATAAACGATGATGTTCTTGTTTTTTATTTGGATATGATGTTCCCCACTGTTTTTGGATTGTTCTGAACTATTCATCTCACTATCAGGAATGATTACCTAAAAAGGAAAGGTAAGCTGCTTCCTTGGGCCTTCAAAAATGCAAATTAAAGGAAGTGAAGTAGAGTTTGGTCAGCGTTTTTATTTGACATTCTCCGATCCCACATATGAGTACAGTTCTAGAGAGCGATATCTATACTAATATAAAAAGGGAAATTAAGGCAATTATAATAGTTCCCGACTAAAAGTTACGACTATGATCAATAAATAACCGTTGCTTGATAAACGTTGTCCATATTTAATTTTGTCAAAGAAAACTGCTAACCGGCATTAGCCGTATATAATACGGAGTATAATTTGATGTGCATAAGTTATTCGCAATTGCTTCTTCCACCGTGGTAAAAAACTACGTACTACCAAAGCCTCAAATTTCTGAGCAAATGGTCCCAAAAGGTGCTATATTCTTTTTACTTCACAATACAACTATGTCAGATGCTTGCCTTACATGTTGTTTTTCTGTAGAGCACCAAGTGAGAAAGAAAGTCGTTTCTCTCCTTCTTCCAATGAAAGATGTTTCTCAAAATTATCAAAATGCATAAATACAGAACTAGGTTGGGTTAAGGTTGGCGAGATCACATACGTGCCTTACGTGAGATTCAATATTCTGTTTTGTCTTTTCAATCATCATAAAACACCAAATAAAGGGCATTTGAGAGAATGAAATAAATGAATTAGAACTCTAACTAATTAATTAGGTGGTCATATCATATGGAAACACGTAAAATGTAGATTTGAATAACTGTTCTTATTATAAAATAGAAAGTAAGTGAATATCATCAATATATTACTAAAAGATTAGTGTCATCTTTTTATTATATTAAGATTATTATACCATCAATATAACGTACGTAGTATATCTAATAATAAGTAAAAATTTAAAATATGAACCTCATAAGAATACGACACTACTAGAAAAACGGGTTTTTGAGGCGCTTAGATAGAGGCGCTTTTTTAAAAAGTGCTGACTTTGTATTTTTATATATATATTAGACACGCTTTTTCAAAGCGCCCCTAAAATGCGCTCCTAACTTAGAGCATTTTAATATTCAAGTCACTATTGGGTTAAATAATAAGAGAACTTACTAAATTAGTTATTTATTTAAAAACGAAATGTTGCAGTTGGCCATCTAAATGATTAAAACATTGCTTAAAAAATTATTAAAACATGTGGCATCATTACTTTATATTGGTCAGCAAAACAAAAACATTTTTATCCATGAAACGGCACTTCTAAAAAAGCATCGCGGCAGGTTTTTTACATTGGGCATAACTAATCATATTGAAACATCAATTTCTTTTTTTCCTAAAAAGAAAGCAAATCCCTAAAAGATTGGAGCTCGTAGATCGTAGCCGACCTCATTCCTATTCATCTAAACGACGGAGATCGCAGAGTCCCCCGACCTCCAGGTTTCCGTTTCACCACAAATCCATCAAACGTAGCACCTCTCGTCGCCGATCGGCCTCGTCTCTGCATCTACCACGTTGTGGAAGCTTCTCAACTCTCACCAAACTCTTCTCTCACAAAACCAACGATCCTAAAGAGTTCTCCAGATTGCTAGTAGGTGAGTTGATTTTTCCTTTTATTTAGACAAACAATCTGTGTTTTGTGATGAAATTGATGTATTCTCATGGTTTAATGATCGGTTACTTGAATCTGCAAAATAATTAGGAGTTTAATCTTGTATCTCGATTGACTATTTGAATGGCTACACGTGAACTTGATTAATAATATCCTGGTCATCATGTGTAAGCTTCTGAAACACAATATATTTATAAACACCTCTTCACTCTGGCTAGCTAATAAATATTTTGTAATTTGGTGATATGTGTAATATCTTATGTGGTAGTGTGTCTAGCTTATGAATGTTCAATAACTCAATTGACATCTTATTTAATTTGTTTCTATATGTGTTAGATATTATAATATTAGGAAGGTTTTGTAATTGATAGATGCATAAAAAAAATTGTTCAACTACCGCCATCTTAAAATCTGCTGCATATTTATCCAGGGAATATGTATTATTGTAGTATAAAGTGAGCCTCCCCTTTTAAAGCCATTTTTTAGTTTGGGATGAGAACAAATGGATTGTTGCTCCATTTTGGAGGCCTTTGGATGAAGGAAAAGAAAGCATATACTATAGAATTATTGTGATCTAATTGTTTTTTTATGCCTTTAGTGTACAGTTTTTCTTAATAACAAGCAACTCAGATTATAATACAATACATCTTAAATTAAGGCATAGAAAATTAATGATAACTACACTAATTTCTATGTTAGTTACGGAGTATATTGTTGTCTAGTTAAAATGAACAACCTGTCAACTATTCTCATACATATCCAAAATAGAAAGCATATATATATATATATATATGTATATATATATATATATATGGTGTAAATGTATATTTGAATAGATTATAAGATCCACACATTTGCATAACATTTCAATTTCTAACTTTATAACGACTTCAGTAAGAAATATGCTAGCTAGACTAAATGAAAATCCAAAGTGAGTATACTATATTCTATTTTCCTTTGACCATATGGAAGTCATTATATTCTTTAATTGAATTTTATTTTAATATTTATTTTCTTAATCAGTTTCATATTGTAACTACAATTGTATGTTTCTCGTTGTAAATTTGACTCTAATTTTTATTTATTTAGGTTCCATTCTTGTTTGTTTAATCATGGATTTGGAATCAATCAAGAAATGTTTAGCTTCGTCGTTAAGAACAGCCCAATATCGAGTAGGGGTTGAGGGTTTTATGAGATATGCTATCAAGAGTTTGACTTTTGATGGCAAACTTAGATGTCCATGCATGAAGTGTGTTAATAATAAGCTTTTGAGTCCAGATGAAGTAAATGCTCACTTGCTTCATTATGGAATTATGAGGAATTACTCAAAGTGGATTTTTCATGGAGAAAGTTTGGGTCAAATGACAAATCTAACACCTTCTGAACCTCTAGTAGAAAATGAGATGCTAGAGCATTCAAATATGCGCCAGTTGATACATGACGCATATGGTCATATAAGTCATGAACCAAATCTAAGTTACTCTATTCCAAACACAGATCAGCACACTCGGGGTCCAAATAAGGAAGCTGAAACTTTTTATAGTTTGCTTGAAGAGGCAGATAAGGAGTTGTGGCCCGGGTGTGAATTGACTCAATTGTCTTTTTTAGTGCTTTTATTCCACACAAAGAGTTCTAATAAATGGACTAATAAGTCCTTTAATGAACTATTAGGACATTTACAACTTGCAATTCCAAAAAGTGCAAATTTACCAAAGACATTTGCACAAGCCAAAAAAGTTATGGATAAACTAGGCCTTGGCTATGTTAAAATTCATTCATGTCCAAATCATTGCCAACTGTTTTGGAAAGAAAAGGCTAATGATGATACATGCTCAGTTTGTGGTGCTTCAAGGTGGAAAGACATGAAAGAGACGACAACTTCAGTAGGATGGAAGAAAAAAAAAGGAATTCCTATAAAAGTTTTACGTTATTTTCCATTAAAACCTAGACTTAAGAGACTGTTTATGTCTAAGAAAACTGCATCATTAATGAGATGGCATGCCGATGAACGTCTAAAAGATGACATACTAAGGCACCCGGCAGATTCTGAAGCTTGGAAAAGTTTTGATCTTAGGTATCCTGAGTTTTGTGCAGAGAGTCGTAATGTAAGGCTTGGACTTGCTAGTGATGGTTTTAATCCCTTTGGGTCGTTAAGTTCTACATATAGTTGTTGGCCTGTTGTTTTGGTACCATACAATCTACCACCATGGATGTGAATGGACAGATTCTACTACTGGAAGAGGAGTGAAGAAAGATGAATACGGGTTTACACTTGTAAATTTTTCTCGTATGACACACACTGGAGAAAAAATAGAAGACGAGCCATACATATTTGCATCACAAGCAGGGCAAGTCTTCTACATACAAGACCTTACTCATCCAGATTGGTTTGTTGTTATAAAGATGAAGCCAAAGAATGCATACGACATAGGTGCTGAAGAAATGGGAGAAGATGGGGAAAATGAACCATATCATATTACTTTTCTAAATAACTTGCTCATCAATGAAGAGGGAAATTATAGTTGTGTTAGAAAAGATGTGGAAGGAATTGTAGTTTCTCATAATGAACAATCTTAGTACCTTTAGTTACATGATAACATTGTCTTACATTTTATATTCTCTTGTTTCCTAGTCTCACTAATGAATACCCATATTTTATTTATCACTTAAGCTTTACTCTGGATTTCTAATTGAGCAATTGTGTATATTTTTGTGTACTGATTTGTGTGATGCTTTTATATAACTTCATACTTTAGTATCTAATTTGTTTTAAGGGCTATGGCTAAGCGAAAGAAAAAGAAATTGCGAATGACTACCAATGAGGGAGGTATGACAAGAAAGAAGCAACACGTTCAAGCTGGTACTAGTAGCTCAAATACAGGAACTTTTAATGAATCTAGAGATGGAAACTCAGAAGGCAGAATCTATGATTGCACTATACAAGGTATTTTAACATTTTCTTACTCATAAATGTGTTGTTAATACATTTTATATATACTATTTATGTAAATGTAAATCAATACATACAAACATCAGACAACTAGAATAATGAAAAAGGCTACACGGAATGAGTTATCATGTTTAAAAAACAAATATAAAAAATAAATAAGCAAGTGATCTAGAGCCCATATACCAACCCCTAGTCTGTCACATATGTGAAGCAGATTCTCATGGTAATCGAAGGCGTGGAAAGACCATTCTAGCAGATGTGTGGAATCTGCCTGAAGGGAACCGTATTGTCATTGATGTCAATAAAGAGAACCAACCCATTGGAGATGAAGGAGGTGTATTAGGCTCTTTTTGTGGGACAATTGCAAGGAATGGAACGCTTTGCTCCTTAAGTTTTACAAGATGGGATCACTTGAAAAAAGGCAATAATCGAAACAACCAAGCCATCATACTAAAAGAAGTTCAGGTAACCTATATGTTCCTAATGGTTTCATTCAATCTTTTGAAAGTTTATAATATGTTTTTTTATTTTAAACTACATTCATTAGTTGTTGGTGTTGTAGGATCGGTTTCTTTATCCTAAATCACTTGACAAATGGATACTGAAATCAATTGGACATAAATGGAGGGACTACAAATGCGTCTTGAAAGGAAAGTGGTATGATGATGCTAAAAATATTACTATATTGCATGATAACTATCCTGAAGATGTAGAAAAGGATCAATGGATTAGCCTTGTCAACTTTTGGAGGTCAGATGAAGGACAGGTATAGTTACTGGATGTTTTTCCTTCTCGTTCTACTAAGTGATATTTTTATCTGAACTTAAGATTCTTATAATTGGACTGCATTTAATTAGTTCTGCACTTTTTCAGGTGGTATTCAGTTTAAAAAATATGTTACTTTAAGTTAGTAGAGGATTTGATAGATGCCATGATCTTCAAAAATATACTATTAAATGTCTAAATGCAACTTTGGATTATTTTGAACTCTCCTAACCTTATTTTGTCTCCAAACAAACCATTAATTCTGAGATGTGAAAGCAGAAACTTCTTTTCGTGTAATGATTTATTAGGGTCCATATATACACTCAAGAGAGATTTCATTGTTTGATATTTCTAGGAGTACTTTTATTGTCGTTCTACTATTTGAGTTTTTTTATCTTCATTTTTTTGACTTTTTGGACTTTATTAATCACTTTGATGATGTGATTTTACAGAAGAGAAGCAAATCAAGTAAAGAATCGCATAAGAAAGCTAAGGTGAAGCCGATTTCTACCACTGGTACTAAAAGTCATGCCCGTGTTCGTGAAGAGATGGTATTTAATCTCATCTAGAGGGTTTTTTGAGTTATTGTATACCTTTTTCTTAATTAATATACTTTGATGAGTTATTTTATTTGTTATGTAGAAACAACGCTTAAACAAGAGCCCAACACGAACTCAGGTTTATTTAGAATGTCATCAACATGAAAATGAAGCAGAAATAACGGTATGTATGTGTTTATATATATATATTCATGAACTTTTGGATTTACTTTTGAACACATCAATATGGTGTGAAGCCATCAGATTTGGCAAACCCCATCAATTGTTAGAGTGGTTTTAAGGGTTTCTCAAGTTCTATTTTATAGATCTTTGAGTTAAAGTTATGTTTAGAATTACTTTATGTAGAATATTTCCCTCAAACAAAACAATGTCTAATATTAGGATTATCACAGGTGATACATGAGGACCAAGCTGGATCCAATTCAATTGAAATGTTATATATATATATATATATATATATTAGTTGTCCATATATTTTCAGGCCAAGTAAGTTATACTTTGATTCCTAAATGCTTTACCCGGTATTCTTTGTAGAGTCAAATTAGGAATATCGCTGCTGAAATAGGTGATGAAGAAGTGAGCTTAGATGATGATCCCGTTTCCAAGATTCTAGGTAAAGATCAATATGGCCGTGTTCGTGGTTTAGGACTTGGTGTGAAGCCATCAGATTTTGCAAACTCCTCACGCCCACCATATTGCAATGGCTTGAACATGTCCTCAAGTGATGAAACAACGACTTTGTACTATATTCGTCAACTGAAAAAATCAATGCAAAGACTGGAAAAGCGTGTCAAAAAGCAAGGAATAAGTATCATAAAACTGAATAGGTCAATGCAAAGAATGAGGAAGCTTTTAAAAAGGAAAGGAACAAGTCTTTTGAAGTTGAAAAGGAAGCTAAAAGTCCGTTGTGGTTCAGATTTTGATACTTCTAGTTCAGATGGTTCAGAAAAATCAGATTCAGAAGAAGAGTTTGATATTCAGAATACTAATGAGGTACTCAGTGTATTTTTTTCATCTTATAATTTTGCCTACTTTGTAAAAATTGTTGCAATTAAATAATGTGATACTGTTTTATGCAGGGTGATGTTGCTACTTCAACCGCACATTAAGTGATGACATTTGAGATTCCTTAATCAAAAGTAACACTAATTGCAACCTGCTATAGAAACATTTTTAAAAATTTTCACATTTTCTCATGTGGTCTTTAATTATAAGTAGTATATCCGTTTTGATGTTGTTAAAGGGAATTGAGTATCTGTTCAAGAATTTTTAATGTGATAGTACAGATTTATACTGCACTCTCAGGTACCCTTCAATAATTAGAATATTACAATTGGGTAGTAGGGTACTGTATCATTCACCTTAAGTTTATACCCATACATTTTCATTGTGTGCGTGTGTGTTGTTACTACAAAACTGGACACTAGAATTTTCAAAAGAGAAACTTTCTTTGTTCTTCCAATCTTCCTTTTAACCTCAAATCTGTAAAATAGGAAGATATGTTTTTAGCTTTTTTATTCAAATGATCATTATAAGTTTTTAGTATGAATTTTTTAAAGTTCATTAGACAACATATGTCACACATTCCGTTTAAAATCATTGAGCGAAGAACTGAAAAGTTTACAAGAAACTGAATGCATCTCATATTTATAAAAAAAATGAAGGAAAGAATTGACCCATAAAACAAAGAACTTGAAAAGTGTCCAACAAATGCATCTCAAAAACTGAATGCATCTTTTGTTTGGTTTTTGCAGGTTTTGCTTCAGTAAAAGATAGAGGGGCTTACTGTAATACTGAAGTTGGAGAGATTAAGGGTTGATTTGGATATATTGATGTAATACAATAGACATTAAGGGTTGATTTGGATATATTGATGTAATACAATGGATATGGATTATGGAGTTAAGACAAATGAGGAACACTCTTGTTATTTTCAGTTTGGGGGCACTTTTGATATTTTGGTACAAGATTAATCAACTTATACACTCATTTGCAATTGTAATAGCTTCTTAGTATATTATTTAAACCTCATACGGAGACAGATTTATTGTAAAAGAAGCAGGAGAAAAAAAAGTAATGACCGGTGGTCCGGTAATAGATTTGGAGGCGCTTGGAAAGCGTAGTTGGATCTCTTGCGGCGCTAAATATGTACCTTAGTAGGTTATTGAAAAGCACCTCATGTTTAGCGACGCTTTTAGAGTGTTATACCGATGCAAAAGATTAGCGCCGTGAGAAGGTCTAGCGACACAAGCAAAGCAAGCGCTTTCAAAAGCGCCGGTAAAAGTATTTCCGACGCTTTTTAGCGCCTCTACAAGTCAATATATAGCGTCTTAAAAACTCCTTTTCCTACTAGTGCGAAGATGCTTAATACGATGGTATTGGACCAAGATTTGCTTTTGTGTTGTTTTACACCTATATGCGTGCCTAAAATCTTAACTTCGGGCCGAAATAATTAAATTAAATTTTGTATCCTTAACATTTATGCAAAAATTAAAACTAAATTTTAATTTAAAATAATCTCCAATTATTTTAAAAGTATTGTTTTTATATATATTAGAGAAATTAGAGGTTAGGTATTTGTTGTTGTTGTTGTTTGGTAATCTTACTCATTCAGTATTTACATGATGTTTAACACTTAAATATTGTGTGATCAATATTTGGTGATCGAATTAAAGTTGAATTTAATGTTTTCCAAAAAAAGTTGAATTTAATGTGTCTTTTATTCTTAAAGTACCCTTATCCAACTAGATACGTAGTACCTCATTTAATGTTAACAATATTAATTATAATTATATGTTGATAATATTCACCATATGTAGTACTACCTCCGTCCCGCTAAGTTTGGGACAAGAGAAGGTGACACAGTTATTAATAAAAATGAGTTTATATGGTTGATATTGAATTGATAAAGTAAGAATAAAGTAGGAATGCTTTAGAACCACACAAACTTTACCAAATAAGGTATGAGACAATCTTAGTGGGACGGACCGAAATGGTAAAATGGCACAATCATAGCGGGACGGAGGGAGTAGTACTTATTTTGTTCCTACTAATTAAGTACAGATCATTAACTAGGATAAAATCAAATTTATCATTACCTGCTGTAGACAAATACTATCACCGTTCTCTTTTAGTTGCAACGTAGGACTTTTTTCACTATTCACAGATTCTACTTTGACTACATTTTATTTATTAATATATTATGAATTAAATTTTTAAAAAATATTTTTAAATTCCTCTCATTATAAATTTTCAAAATCTGATTTTTATTTTATTTTTTTACTAATAAGGAATGGAAGACATTAGCGGTCAAACTTCTGCGTTGGCAAGCATGAAAAGTTGACTGTTGCAATTAAAAAAGAACGGAGGAAGTATGATATTAGCAATAGAACCATAATTGATAGGAAAAATTATGGACAACGCTATTTGTAAACATACTTTTACTTCCTTCAGTTTATCTCAAGCTAAGTGGTAGTTTCTTTTGAGTTGTATTTAGAAAACTTGATGTGTTTACCTTTACTGCCCATAGTATTACAAATAAACTTATCATAAATAGAAATTTGTATCCGTGCACCGCACTGGTACAATACTAGTATCAGAAATAATAAATGCCTGGTCAAAATCCCATATTGGCAGGGGATTTTCGGAACATACATGACGGAAAGATGTCCGTATCAATGTATTGGTGTGCTTTATTTTATTTTATTTTGCAGAAAAAGTCTATGTATAGATACATAAAACGGAAAGATGTTATACATGCACACAAAACGTGTTTGTGTACACAAATTTTGCTCACACAGATAAATTTTGTTCACACAAACAAATTTTGACAAAAAGTGCTGAATAGTGTCGTTTTTTTAATTTGTATGAAAGTGTTAAGATTCGGGGTTCCATCCTAAAAGGTCAACCTGATAAGAGGAGTAACACGAAGCCTTGTATAGTGTTTTATTATTTTTTTATAGCTTTCCGGTGTGGGACAAATACTTTAACACGCCCTCTTAGCCCGAATAGGACTGGACAATATCAGGATGTATAAATGGGCCAAACAGACGCTTAACAAGCTACCCGTAATCATGAGTGCTAAACAAGGAGTCAAACCACAATAGGAATGGGCTCGGATACCATGTTAAGACCCGGGGTTCCATCCTAAAAGGTCAACCTGACAGGAGGAGTAATCCAAAGCCTTAATTATATAGTATTTTATTTTTTTAATAGCTTTCCGGTGTGGGACAAATACTTTAACAGAAAGACATATAAATAGGGTGTAATTTGGGGTGTAATTTAACCCTGGTTTAATAAATTTTTTTCATGAAAGATATATGTGTCGTACTTAGATGTTCTTAGTTAGACTGAAATTTAATTGTCTAATATGTTTAAGTGTGGTCTAGTCTTGTCTGATTTAGTCTAAATTGGTCTGATAGATGTTTGGTCTATGTTTATTTTATAACTGTCCAAGTGTGGTATGTTTGTCTCATCTGTTCAGTTCTGTTTTAAGACTGGCCTGATTTAGTCTGCTCAAGTCTATTTAAGTCTGATATGGTCTATTCTAGTCTGATTTGGGGTGCGACTGAAAACGGAGCAAATAAAAACACCCATAAAATATCATGCATGTTTATATGATTTCTGTAACGCTAAAGCCATACAAAATTAGTACTTCCTCCGTCCCCCTAAGTTTGGGACAAGAGAATGTGGCACGGTTTTTAATAAAAGTGGGTTTATGTGGTTGATATTGAATTGATAAAGTAAGAATAAAGTAGGAATGTTTTGGAACCACACAAACTTTACCAAATAAGGTATGATACAATCTTAGTGGGACGGACTGAAATGGAAAAATGGGACAATCATAGCGGGACGGAGGGAGTATTAAATAGATTTAGTTAAAACTTATACTCTAGTACTTTTTAATATATATACAGAATTGCACAATTGAATTGCACTTACGAACATCAAAAGAATATTTTTATGATGGTAAGGATATGCAGAGTACACCACATTTAGACTAGTACGTACTCTTTAATATACCTTATTATTATTTCTTTTTATCAATATACGTAATTTTTCCTTATTATTATATTTAAAATATACCTTATAATGATATTTTTATAATTTAAGGATATGCAGAATAGACCACATTCATACTAGTACTTTTTAATATACCTTATTATTATATTTTATGTTTTGAAAGACTTGAATTGAAGTAGGCATCATATTCTTGCTACTATGATGAAATTCAAAACATCTTTTGTTCTATTAAGTGTTCACAATTCATTAGTTAAGTTTGAGTTTTGATGTTTGAAATGATTAGAGCTTCAAATAAAATTTTAATACCCGTGTTTTGAATTTTTGACGTGTTCATGTTGTTTGTAGAAAGTAAATTATTTGTTAAGTCTTAGATGAGAAAAAATTATTTTAGAAACCGGTAAAAGGAAGAACCGAATCGTTTACTACCGGTTCGGTTCCATAGCGATTCTTGATTTTTTATATAGGAACCGAACCGATTTCAATAGTTAAAATTTTTAACGGTAATTCACTCATTTTGAGTAGGAACCTGTCAGGTTTTCACCTCTCCAGCTCAGACCACGCTCAAACAGCTCACACCAAAGCACCACCGCGAAGGGACAGTCACACTCAGGCCAGCCCAGCCATCTCAACGCACACCAAGTCAAAGGGAGGAAGCAATCGAAGATAAAACACGAAGGGACCGAAGATGAGACTGAAAGTCTCTCTCTATCTCACTCTCTGCGTCACTCTCTCTCTAACTGAAGACCTCAGATCCCAAAATGAGCGGACAAGAGGGTATAAGTACCGAGGGTCAAGAAGGAACCCTAAAGGAGGGTTCCAGAACACGGGCTAGGCGAGAAACAACATGGGCCGGGGCTAAGGACTAAAACGGACAGGCCCAAAAGGAAGAGAGGGCTGCTTAGGCCAATGGGCCAATAACTCCACACTCTCCACCTTATTGGCCATCATTGGTGGTGCAAAGCATCACAAAGTAACATGAGCACGTGGTTCATCATCGTTGGGTCACCAGTGATATCCTAAGACATAACTGGCAAACAAATTGGAGATACACACAGTACTCCCAAAAAACAAATGGGAGAAGTACACAAGGTACTCCCCCAAAACGTGAGGGCAGATTATCTCAAAGCACTTGTGCTTTGAGAATTTGCTCTCCAGACACCCAAAACCTGCAAACAGAGCTAACCACAATCTAAATTCAAAGTTTGTTTACAAGACAACAACTTCTCAGCAGACAAACACTTTGTTCCCATATCTGCAGGGTTAAACTCTGAGGGTATCTTGCACAGCTTCACCTTTCCTGCATCTAAGACATCACGAATGAAATGGAACCTCACATCAATATGTTTGGTTCTGTCATGGAAAACAAGGTTCTTGCAGAGCTGTATAGCAGACTGGCTATCAGAAAATAAAGTAGCATCCTGTTTAAGAAAGCCTATCTCAGAAATAAGAAGGCTCAGCCAAATGGCTTCCTTGAAAGCCTCTGTAGCTGCAACATACGCAGCGCAAACAAACCGCTCCGTGGGCTGCTATACCGAATCCCCCAACCTCAGTGGTTGATAATGCAACAATAGGTTGTAACTGAGACTTCCAACTAACACATGAACCACACAAAGTAAACACATAGGAAGTAGTAGATTTCCTATTGTCTCCATCATTTGCATAGTTAGAATCATCATAACCACTCAGTTTCACACCTTCAGCACACTTAGAGAAAATCAAGCAATGATTAACAGAGAATTTCAAGTATCTCAAAAGCCATTTCAGAGCATTCCAATGAGGCATACCGGGATTAGACATATACCTACTCAAACAACTCACAACATAGGCAATATCAGGTGTAGAACTGATCATCAGATACATCACAGAACCTATAGCATTTGAATAG